CATTAAAATTCAGCCTTTCCTTTTTTTGGACCACCCTAATCTACATAGATATCCATACTATGTAATACTATGTAATTTTACGGGCACTGCGTTTCCCTGGTGTTTTCAGAAAGAAAGTTCGAATCATTTAAGAACTTTTGTAGGTCAACTAAATTTGCATTGGGGCAAACTTAAAGCCTGTGACGCTTAAATAAAATTGGCAAACTATAACACAAACTAACGGTGTGACCAGGTTAGCCTTTATGAGGCTAGATATAGCATTTAAATTTAAACCATAACCTCAGAATTTTCGGTTTGTCTTCATAGCGAAATTCTGACCGGAACTTATAAAAATAATAACCATATTAAAAATACTTAATGTTTCAAAAACTATTGTTTACCGTTCAAATATTACAATAACAGACTAAGCACCATTTCCATATCATTTTCATACATACATAGGTATTTTCTTAGCTTTTTCTTAGGTTGTGCCTTATACTCTATTTTTGGAACAATTATTTTGTTGGCATATTACTAGTGCACTCTGATGTAGAAAACGATCATATTTCTATTCTATTATTATTTTTCGTTTTTCGTATACTAAACTGAACTCCATTTTGCATACCCTGAAGTAATGCAGCCGTTATTAACCTGAAAGATGTTATTTTGTATTTTGATGGGAAAGATTTAAAAATTTATTTAAAGAAAATCGGTTTCGCGGAACTTATCGAGTTGGCGTAGACTTTTTATGGAATGTACTAACTTCTTTTGAACTTAATTTTTCACATTTTTCATTTTTTCCAACATTATTTCAAAACAAATTTAGCCTCGCTTTTTGTGATCATCTGGCCATACTGCAAATAAATCATCCAACAACAGCAGCGATACTTTAAATCAAGTATCTTCTAAAAGCAACACTCCACTAAGATTTCTCTTCTTATCGTCCCCAAATAAAATGCCCTAAAATAATATGCTAAGCTCTTGCACGCTTATTTATTTTGCTCACACTTTTTATTATTATTTTCGCTGTTTTATTACATTTTAGAATACGTGGCGCCCTCACCGCAATGGCTATGGGTTTCCTCAGTACCGGCATTTTGGTTGGCTATGCGCTGCCTGCATATCTCGACTACTTTTTGGTGCCTTGCATTATAATTGTTTTGCCGATCATTTATCTAATTGCTAGCTGGGTATTTCCAGAGACGCCACAAAGTCTGCTGAAGAGAGGACGTACTGAAAGCGCGGAAAATTCTTTTAATTTTTACAAAAGTATACCCAAGCCAGAGGAGAATGCGAGACCAAAATTTAGTAGAGATTTGGAATTACCACAGCCTGTGTTGCCGGCGCGAAGCGAGTTTGATGAATTGAAGGAGATTATTCTAGCGAGTGGATTTGCCACGCCCATAACTATAAAGGATTTCTGTAAGTTTTTGTGTCAATAAGTAGCCGATTAAGATAGCTACGGAAGTTCGAATACAACCTGTCTGAATATATTTATACGAGACGAGGTCTATAATTCGTCAAGTGATGAAAAAAAATCTGTCAAAATCTCAAAACTTTCCCATAGTTTCGAGAGGTCTTCCAAAGAAGTGATTCTTGGAGCAGTCGTTTCATCTAGCCTAGCTACGACCTTTGACCTAACCTATCTCTCACACGACGTCTTAATAATTCTTCCACATATCTTACAAGCCCATTTCTCTCTCCCTCTTTTACTTTCCTTTTTTTTTCAGTCACCAAATCGGCCATATTCAAATTTTTCACAGCCTTCATTATGTGCATTCTCAATCAATTCTCCAGCAGCTTCGTCTTTGTCAGCTATATGTCCGCTATTTTTGCATCATCCGGTTCGACCATGGACCCCAATGAGTGTACTATTTATATGGGTGTGGTTGAGATAGCCGGCACGGTGACGTCCACTGTGCTAGTAGAACGTTTCGGTCGCAAAGTACTGTTGCTGTCATCAACAGCGACTATGGCAGCGTCGATGTTTGCTTTCGGCATTTTTGTCCAATTCACCGATGACGTAACGAAGGCACAATACGAATGGGCGCCAGTGTTGCTGATGGCTTTGGTTGTGTACACGGCCGCTTTTGGCATTGTTGGGCTGACCTATACGATTATTGTGGAAATTCTGCCGGCAAAGGTGAGTAAAATTTGAGTTAAGATGGAATGATTCGGGTGAGAACTTATTTACGTATGAACATATGTACATTAAGGTGCCTCGATGATGATAACTTATCCCGACTTGAACTTGAATTAATGAATTGTGGATATGATCAATACTACTACATAGGTCTCAGTTGCAGTAAATCCAAATTTCTATTACTTCAAAGATACTAAAGAAAAGAAAGTTCAAGGAGTATTTTTACGTACAAAATGCGGCATATCTATGTATAAGTAACCGAAGATAGATGTTGGCTCTGACTTCGAAGTTGCTCATAGAAAAGAGGAGGAATCTAACAGCTAGGCTAATATATATAAAGTTTTTGAGGTCGACAAAAACTAACTCGGTACAAGATTAGAGCATAACGATGTGTCAAGAGGAAGCTGGCATATTCACACATACAACAATTTGTTGAGGACTCTAGAGAGGGTGCTAAAAGTTGATGTACTGCTATCCGTATATGCACTCTTGATCGGTCTGAGCATCGTGCGATGAGCGGAACATAGATCTTTTGAGGGGAATACCAGCAGCACCCAGCCATATCAGCCACGCAGATATCAGGTTTGAAGCCACGATTTCTGTGAGAAGTTGTTCTTCCTGTGCAAAATCCCCGCACTGTGATATAAGTTCTACAAAGTTCTGTGAAAACATTTATCCGAGGATATCTACTGCTAAGAACCGTCTCACTGTAGAGACTAACTGGATTTTTTTTTTTTACAAATAGGGTTGATTTAAGTGCATGTAGGGAGAGGATAGGATAGGACATGATAGTTTAGGATAAGATACGATAGGATAGGATAAGGTAAAGATAGTATACATCAAGCAAAGAATAACTTTTGCTTACAAGCAAAAGCAGAAAAACCTGTTAGAACTCGGGATGAACGACTGACGCAACTTCGTAGAGGAACAAACGGTCGTAGTGCCAAATAAAAAGATCCATCTCTGTCTATACGAAAAACGCAGTAGGGAGTACAAAAAAATACATATTTTGTTCTGGGACACTCTAATGCGCATATCTGTATAAAATCTATAAACATTTTGAATGGGGATAAATAGAAATGGTACCGAGCTGATAGGGGAAATTGCTTGGTTTGTTATTTATGTTGTTATCGGAATGGAAAAACGATATCGATAATAATTTCCATGAAAAAATCGATAAGCTTTTTAACAACGGTATGAATAAATAAATTTATAAAAAAGTATCGATACCACTAAAATCGACAACGATATTGGTAAATCATATATCGATGACGTTATCAAAAATAAAATTTACTAGTATTGGGCAGTTTCGGTACCTAATCTTAAAACGATCGATAGCACTTACACTTACTTACAATTACTGATATTCTGAAATGATTATACTCAATTTTAAGTTTCAACAAATTTCAAGTACGGTGCTTGTACTCAGTATAGGTAGCCATATATTTACCGTAATTTGGTATTAATATATTAAGGGCCGTTTTCTAATGTAAGCAGTAAAGTTGCCTTTACTAACAGGGCAGATAAATTGTTCCTCACTTTAAAGTGTTTTCGTTCTCTTACCTTGCCGGTAAAAATAAATTTGTTATTTCGTAGAGTGAAACTTCACTACAG